AAAAAGGCTGGAAGTGGCACTGTGACTCAAGTGGTAGAGCGCTAGCCTTGAGCTGAAGAGCTGAGGGACAGTGCCCAGGCCCAGAGTTCAGGCCCCACTACTGGACCAAAAAAAAAAAGGAGTTGGATTATTTAATTGAGGAATAAATGTTTGGATAATGTACACCATATGCTTCTACTGAGGTTTGAACTCCAAGCCTCATAGTTGCTAAGTAATAATCTCATCACTAAAGCCACAGCCCAACCCACTTCGTTTTTGTTGCTTCATGGGGCTTGGATTCTGGGCCTGGGCACTGTCCTCTTCAGCTCAAGGTAAGTGTCCTACCACTTGAGCCACAGTGCCACTTCTGGTTTTCTGGTGGTTTATTGGAGATAAGAGTCTTACAGATTTTCCTGCCCAGTCTGGCTTTGAAATGCAGTCCTCAGATCTCAGCCTCCTGAGTAGCTATGATTACAGGTATGAGCCACTGATGCCCAGTCTATTGTTTTATATCCTTCCATTTTCAGTTTGTCTTTGTATATTTAGGGCCTGTCTCTTGTATATGGTTTGCATCTAGAGTATATTCTTTTTTTGTTTGTTTTTCCAGTCTTGGGGATTGAACTCAAAACCTAGGTGCTGTCCCTGAGCTTTTCAAGGCTAGCAATATACCACTTAAGCCACAGCTCCACTTCTGGCTTTTTGTGGGTAATTGTAGATGAGTCACATGGACTTTCGTGCCCAGGCTGGTTTCAGATCTTTCAGATCTCAGCCTCCTGAGTAGCTCACCCAGCTTAGAGTATATTCTTTATCCATTTTGCTAATTTGGGCTTTGAGAATGCAATCCTTTTACACTTGTTGTCACTGTAAATATATATATTAAAATCTTATGCAGTGCTGGGTATCAAATGTAAGTATTACTAGCTATCTCCCTCACCCTTTGTCCCCCTTTTTTTTCTGTTGGTTATGGGGCTTGAACTCTGGACCTGGGCGCTTCAAGGCTAGTGCTCTACCACTTGAGCCACAGTGCCAATTTCAGTTTTCTGGTAGTTAATTAGAGATAAGAGTCTCACGGATGTTCTTGCCCAGGTTGGCTTTGAACTGAAATCCTCAGATCTCAGCCTCCTGAGTAGCTAGGATTACAGGCGTGAGCCACTGGCACCCAGCACAACCCACTTTGTTTTAGTTATATTTCAGATAAGGTTGCCAGTACCTTTTGCTCATGCTGGCTTCTCACTTTGCTCCTCCTCCAACTCCTGGAGCTTGAACTCAAGGCCTGGCACTGTCCCTTAGCTTTTTGCTCAAGGCTGGTGCTCTGAGCTACAGCTCAATTTGATCCAAAGGAATGAAGTCACTTCTGCCTGGGAGCCTGAGTCAGGCTTAGTTTCCCTAGAAACAGCTACCTTTCAGCTGGTACTTTAGAAGGAGTCGGATGGATGAAATAAGAAGAAAGGCTGTTGGGCCAGGTGGAAGGGTGGTGTAGGAAATTTGATGACAGGAGCTGATGGCTCATGCCTGGACCTGTAATCCTAGTTACTAAGGAGGCTGACATCTGGGAATTGCAGTTCAAAGCCAGCCCAGGGAAGACAAATCAGAGAGACTCTTATCTCCAATTAGTTTTTTTTTAAAGCCTGAAGTGGAATTGTGGCTCAAGTGGAAGAGCTCTAGCCTTCGGCACAAAAAGCAGCTTAAGGACAGTGTCCAGGTCCTGAGTTCAAGTCCCAGGACTGGCACCAAGAAAAATGGAATGAATACAAACCCCAAAGACCAGCCTCTGGGAGAGGAGATGGTCTGCTGCCTGTGGGAAGCAGGGGGCCTGCAGGGCATCAGAGGCATGGGGGCCGGGGTGGGGGTGATGAGTAAGGGACCTGGGGAATCAGAGACTCTGGGCCTCCTCCACTTGCAGGTGGCAGCAGTGGTTTAGTTAGCTCTACCTTTGCTTGGGTACTTTTTTCCCCCCAGCCATCCACCGGGCAGATTACAATTGTTATTCTCATGTTTGTTTGTTTTAACAAATAAGATCCAACTGGCTCTCACGGAGAAGTAATTTACCCCCCTAGTCACAGCAGAGTGGGGATTGGAATCCAGATCCAGCTCTGGGTGACCCCGACCCCCACCGGTCTGGGAGAGAGGCCGGTACTGCTCACGGAGCCCCAGAGCCAGCTGCTGAGGCCCAGTGCCTCCCTAGGCAGGTGAGCAGTGGGCGGTGGCGCAGGGGGCCCAGTCCCCCATCCTCCCAGGACCCGGAGATGGCGTCGTGGGGTGGAGGAACTCAGCATCAGGGCCTGATTGAGCCGGGGGATCCCCAGAGAACGAACCCAACGGAAGCTCTGGGCGGACCAGCTCGGTGGGCGCAGGCGGATAGATGGGGAACCAGCCTGGAGGGAAGACCTGCTCCCCTCCCTCCCCAGAAACCCCGGGAGCGATGGGGATGCACAGGGCGGGTCTGGGGCCTATCTTGGGGCGGAGATGAGGGTCTGGAAAACGGCCCTGTGGATGAGGAAAGGGACCTCCAGGGCCATCAGCATGGTATCCCCTCCCCCCAAGCCACTGAGGGACTAGGTGGGGGAGGGGGGCACCCAAAGTTGGGAAGAGGAAATCACGGTTCCTCTTCGTGTCTCTCCCATCTGCAGTTAACCAAGACGCAAGGAGACCTGTCTGTTTCCATCCCTCCATAGGCATGGGACTGTCAGTAAGTGCACACTTGGGTTTTGTTGAGGGAACCACGGGTAAGGGTGGGCTGCATGGAGAGAGTGGCTGGAGCAAGCCACACCCTTGAAGCTCGGATGTTCCCAGGAGGCACGGGGGTGGAGGGGTAGGGGGTGGGGGGCAGGAAGGAAGGCAGACGCCAGCCTGCACACCTTCGTGAGTGAGGGACAGACGGGAGGAAGTGGTCCAGGCCCAAGGCTGGAGCTGGAGAGGGCTGGAGAAGGAAGAGAATAGGAAAGGATGGAGGTCCCCTCTAGATGGGTTGTGGTGAGCCAGGAGAAAATAGTTGTCATGGGAGATTCCCCACCGTTCACTGGGACTCCGCTCCAGCCCAGGTCACCATGGCACAAAGGAGGACCGAGAGCCTGGGGCTGATGGGACTGAGCCATGACAAAGTCAGAGATTCAGTGACAGGCCACGATACAGTACTGAAGAACTGTGGGAAAGGGGGAGGAAGGAGCTAGAACCAAGGCACCAGGCCTATCCTCCTTGAAGCTAGCTGGGGACTTCCAGCCACCTCCTTTCCATCCGCTGATCTTCCCTCAGAGACAATCCTCCTTCCTCACACTGCCTGCTCCACAAGGCGGAGAGGAAAGCACACTCATGCAGCAAATATGGCCCCAAGTTGTGACTACCTTGTCATCTCTTCCTGCAGGGGAGATGTGGATTTTAGATGTCTCCACCCCTGTCCTGACCCCCAAGTTTAACCAGGGATGTGAGGACAGAACACTGAGTGTGACACTTGCATGTATGTTTCCTCCTTTGTCTCCCCAATGGCCTTGTGGAGCAGGTCTTATGAACCCCCCCCCCCTTTCCAAATGGTCCAGAGAGTTGGAGCAAAATTCCTTGAGATGACTCAAGACGTGGTGAGGCTGGTCTAACAGTGGAGAGAAGATCTTACAGACCTATGAAAGAGAAGATAAACTGGGACAATGGACTTGATGGAAGAGAACTCCTTAACTGAGAGCTCTGCTTTTAGGCCTAGCGTGTGAAACACTGAAATTATGTGCAGATTTTATGTGTGTATGTGGGGGTGGGGGTGGAGGGGTGTCCCATTCTTTATCATAAGGCTCCTGGCCAGGTGCTCCTCTACCCCCAACCCATTGGAATCTCTCAAGTTCCTGTGGTCAGAAGGCCACTGAGGAAGGGTGCTGAAGAGGAGGTAGGTGGCAAGGTCCTTCTGCTGGCAGTGGGACATGGTATGTCCAACACACAAGCCAGTGAGTCAGCAGCAGTTGGCAGAATGCACATATAGGCTCTAGAGTTAGGCAAAGTAGAGACGAGTCCAGGGAACCTCACCTGACTGCCAAACCCTTCTTCTACCCTTAGACCTTCTTTCCACCTACCCCATGTGCCAGAAATGTCCTACCTCTGCCTTGCTTCTCCTTGCCCCAGGTGATGCTCAGCTTGGAGAACAAGGACAGGAAGGGATTCGCCTGGGCCATTGCCCCGATCTTGACCACGCTGGGTTACCTACACATACTGCTGGTCTCTATCTTTCCCTTTTGGGTGCGACTTGTGAATGAGGAGACCCAGGAAGTGTTTTTCAGTGGCCTCTTTGAGAACTGCTTCCATATCAAATGCTGGAAACCCCGACCCCTATCTAGTAAGGAGAAGCTGGGGAGAGGGAAGAGAAGGGAGATTGGCCAGTAGGGGCAGGGGTTGGGAGGGAACAGGGCCCTAGGGGTGGAGGGCAAATTTACTAAGCTATGAGAACATGTCTCTACTCTGGGGGTAAGAGGAGTGAATGTGGAAAGCTGGGAAGCGTGGGGAAGTTATGGTTCTCCTTGGGCTTGGGACCCATTGTGCAGGAACAAACTTTCACTTTAGGCCAGGGATGATCTATGTGGCTGAATACTGTCTGGGCCCCTTCCTCCCCTCCCCTCCCCTCCCCTCCCCTCCCCTCTCCTCTTCTCTCCTTTCTTCCAGTCCTGGGGCTCAAATTCAAGGCCTGGATGCTGTCCCTGAGCTTTTGCACTCAAGACTAGCACTTTGCAACTTAAGACACAGGCCCACCTGCAGCTTTCTGGTGATTAATTGGAGATAAGGGTCTTATGGAGTTGGGCACCTGTGGCTCATGCCTGTAATCCTAGCTACTCAGGAGGCTGAGATCTGAGGATCCAGATTCAGAGCCAGCCTAGGCAGGAAAGTCCGTGAGACTCTTAACTCCACTAAACCACCAGAAAACAGGAAGTAGCGCTGTGGCTCAAGTGGTAGAGCACTAGCCTTGAGTTTAAGAGCTGAGGACAGTGCCCAGGCCCAGAATTCAAGCCCCATGGGAAAAAAAAAGTCTCATGGGCTTTCCTGCCAAGACTGACTTTGAACCCCAATCCTCAGATTTCAGCCTCCTAAGTAGCTAGAATTACAGGTGTGAGCCACTGGCACCCAGCCTCTAATTTGTTTTTAATGTACACTTCCATGTTGTTGGAAGCAATCTGGTGAACCAGAGCATTCTTGGGGGTGACGTGACAGGTTACAGCTTAGGTCCCAAGGTCCTATGTTAGATCTGAGAGTAGTGAGGGGCCCTGGGGTCATCATGCCAGGCTCTGTGGGGGGCTCTGTCCTTTGGGGGCCAGTGTCCTGAGCTCCAGCCTGGTTCTCCCTCCCCTGCAGTTTACATCCTCCTTGGCCGAGTCTTCCTGCTGTCTGCAGTTGTCTTGGCATTCCTCACTACTTTCCTCATGGTCTCCACCGCCTCTGAGTTCCTCCTGAGGACCCGGAAGCACAATGTCCTGTCAGCCTTCATCAGCTTCTGCACAGGTGTGGACCCCATCTTTTGGGAGAACCTGGGAGGGGTGCAATGAGAAAAAAAAGACATCATTAAGGCCCCACATCCGCCTTCTCTTAGTTTAGGATTTTCTCAACACTGTATTTCCAGCTCTGACCTTGTTGGCTTGGGGTTCCATGTTAGGGAGGCCATAGTGGCAGAGAATTCTGAGTGAATTATTTAGTATAAGGATAGGTGACTGTTTCTGGAAGTAATGAATGGAAGAGCCTGTCTCTGCCTTTTGGGCTCTTTGAGGTTTTAGAAGGTCGAGGAAGGCCCCACCCCAGGAATTCCTGGGCCAAGGCAAGGGGTTGAACACAGCTTGGCTTGTGACACCCAGGGGGCCCAGCCAGATGTGAGCCAAGTACCCAGATGCAGAGGGGTCAGCAAAGGGATGTGTGATGGCACAGGCCCTGAAGGTGAGGGGCATGCTTTGAGATCAGCTGGGAAGGAGGGCGGGTGCTGGCTCTGGGAAGGTAAGGATAGAAGCATCTTTAAGCAGGAGCCACACTACATCTGACTCACTGTGAGGGAGGCTGGGATAAAGGCCGGAAGCACAGGGAGAGCAAGGCCACCTCCCTGTGCCCCGCAGGGGCCTCTGCATTCCTGGCCTTGTTGCTGCATGCCCTGGAGATCCGGGATCTGAGGTCGAAGCCCACTCCCACGCAGTTCTCTGTGCAGTGGCCGTACTACGTCCTGGCTTGTGGTATCCTGCTGTTCCTAGTGGCTGGTGAGTGCCCAGGGCTGCCTGCTGCCTGCCCTCTGGCCACAGTTAGTTACAAAGCTGCTCAAGGATTGTCTCTGAGCTTCACTCTTCCATACTGTAGCCCTATGACACACACTATTTCACTTCACTAAAAGGGAATAAGTTAACATTTCAGTTATGGCTGGGGACTGGTGGCTCACATCTGTAATCCTAGCAACTCAGGAGGCTGAGCTCTGAGGATCATAGGAAAGTCCCTGAGACTCTTTAATCTCCAAGTAACCAGCAAGTGATGGAAGTGGAGCTGTGGTTCAAGTGGGAGAGTGCTGGCCTTGAGTAAAAAAGCTCAGGGACAGTGCCCAGGCCCTGAATTCAATTCCTAGTATCTCCTCCCCCACCCCATTAATACATCCCACATCCTCAGTTTCATAAGGCACATTTCATATTTTCAGTAACCATAGGTGACTGGTGTAGTGGTTACTGCATTGAACAGGAGGTGGAGGAAATGCCAACACTTTAGAAAGTTCTATGGGGCAGCATTGCTCTGCACTTTGAGCCTTGTGCCCCATTTTTAGGCTTCCTCTTCTCATCTTTTTTGGGTCTAGAAATAAACAGTTCCAAAGATCCGCCCTCTCTTTTACACTGTCTTGACTGTTTTTCTGTATATCCCAGGCTGGGCTCCTGAGCTAATTACCCTCCTGCCTTCCTTTCCAGAATGCTTGTACCACAAGCATGTACCACATGCAGGCATGTAGCACAATGCTCAGCATCCTTCAGCCTTTTTACCCTTTCCCCTTCTTCACTTTGTTTCATTTCTTTATTAGGTCCTGCTCACATTTGTATTACCCAGCTGCTGTTTAGCCTTGTCTTATCTGTTACGATTTTTTTTTTTTTTTTTTGGGTCCTGCCCCATTTTTTTTTCCCCAGGTTGTTTTTAGCTTTTTTTTTTTTTTTACATTTTTTTTTTTTTTTTTGTCGGTCGTAGGGCTTGAACTCTGGGCCTGGGCGCTGTCCCTCAGCTCTTCAGCTCAAGGTGAGCGCTCTACCACTTTAGCTACAGCGCCACTTCCGGTTTTCTGGTGGTTTATTGGAGA